CCTCGCGATCCCGCCAGGGCTCTGCGTTAGCATCTTGCTTCGTCGTCTTTATTTTAGTCTCGTGTTAACCTTGTTGAGATTTGTTAACCTTTTTTGTTCCAAATCACTCTTTTCAGGCGTGCAGAGCCTCTTCTTAGCTAAAACTTGTTCGGGATGATTCAGTCCCATGGAGAGTCCTTTAAAGTGCTGGGAAGTGCAAAAGATGCAGGATATCTTCTTGGCTTCAGATTGCTTTTTGATTGTGTAGCTTTGCCAACATAAATGAATATTTTCTAGGTGATGAGATTTTGTTGCTGCACGCTATTTATATCTAACTTGATATAGCTGCGGCTCCGGTCTCTGTGGTATTTAAAGGTAAAAGTCTTAGGGGTAAAAATCTAAGGTCAGAATAGATGATTTTGTATCAAATGCTGAAAGCAGTCATACATGTGTTCTGATCTGTCTGATAAGATTAATAGATTATCAAGTCAGGACTGCTGCAGTCGTCTAGCCTAACATCTTCATAATGCAGGCCATAGGACGTTTTCCTCAGTCTATGTTTGAAACTAGAGCGTACGTTTGAGAAGTTGCGGTTAAAAATTTGCAATGAGGCAGGAGTCACCACAATTCTTAGTAAAATGTACTACAAATGGCTGATTTTATTTCTTATTTCTGATCTGAACATGGCTACCTTCACCTTTTAGACACAGAATCTTGTTATAGCTTCATCGACACTGGTAATCCCACTATCTTGTTTCCCCCAGTTAAAAGTTCTTCTGAATTTTGATTAATTTGTTGCTTAATGTTCTCCTTATTAAGACAAACAAGTAAGCTTCTGAAGCTTTTTGCCAGACATTCCCTCAGTTTTCTTCTGATTCTCCTCCAATTTATTGTCATCCTTCTTGAATTGTGGACATTGCATTTTAGAAGCAATTAAGTCAATGTTAAATAAGAAAATAATAGGACCTCCCTAGTACCAGAGTCTCTAGATTCCCTGTTTCGCAGGGGAATTCAAGGACTGGTAGCTGTTTGGCTCGAATGTTGCACCATTAAGCTATGTTTAGTCAGGTTCTCTGCCCGCGTGGCAAGGGAAGGTCTCTTACCTGTCTTTCTAATCTTTCTTCCTAATCACTGAATTAACTTGTGGTCATGTTAAAATGTCAGTTTCAGAGGAAGTCAGTGGCATGTCCCTTTTTATATCACTCTCCCCAGTTTTCAGGACCTACTGAGGAACATGGCATCTCTTCCTTGAGGAAGCTTTGTATTTTCCAGGTCGTTGATAGAAATCCTTAGTGCAGGACGAAGAATGGAGCCGTCTGGATCTTGGACAAAACATGACTGCTTGATGATTATTTTCTGTATTCCAAACAAACAAACAGAAAACCTCAAAAACCCTGATTTCGATACCTAACTGTAATCTATTTAATGGTTTCTATATTACTCTTGTTGTTTTGTGAATCTCTTGGTTAGATTAACGTGCAGAACAATTCTAAGACAGATACCTTACAGCAGGTTATTGGATCAATGGCTGCTACCTTTACCAATTGGACTGTTAGTCTAATTAAAAAAAATCAAATTGGTATCACTGAATCCATTCCTGATATAACAATGTTTATGCATAGATTAGGAAGCAATGTCAAGAAGATCTTGCTTTCATTTCTTGAAAGTTTCATCTTGAGGCTATGTAGCTAATGATAAATGATACGTTTTAAAAATGGATTGATTGAGATGTTTTAACTTTTTACACTGTAGCAGAGGGAAGCTTGTATCAGAGGGATACAAGGGAAGCTTGTATCAACCGTAACATCTGCCTGAAGTTCTCATTTAAGGTTCATGTCATTTTAATGAGACTTAAAATGTGGTGTACCCTGTCTTCAGTAAGTTTTTAAAATTTGAACCATATTCGGTAGAATGTTAAATTTATTTTTGTCCTAGTCTGGGCTTGCATAGGTGTTTCTAATTCCTCTGTTACTGATGAACATTTGTCTTGGTACGGATAGAGTCAGTTGCTCAGGAACTGGGATGCGAGAGTCTTGAGTATCGCTGTTATCAGCCTGGAAGCAAATCATGAAGATATAGATGTAGTGTATTGGAATATGCTGTCAATATTCTAGACCTTCGTTATAGATTGCTTCACGTTTTTTAAAGGGGAGTTTTTGATTGTGGTTGACAGGTAGTCTTCTATACAGCTAAAGCTACGTTAGTCTGGTGTTGAATTAAAAAATTCGGTCTCAAGTTCGTCTGGTACTTGCTTGAAAAGAATTGAGCCTTTCTTTATATGATATAGATAACAAGATTTCATTCAAGGTATTCTGATGTTTATGCTGTTACAGGCTGTGTTCCTTTGTTCAGTCTTAGCTCATCAAAATGATTTCTTCTCCCAACAAGCGTTACTCCTGTCTTCCCTGCACTTAACTTCAGCCATCTGTTTTTTATCCTGCCCTTTATTTCTTGCAGGCACTGTTTTGTCTATGCAATGGCACTGTTCCTATCAACTGGAAGGAAATGTGTGGTGGTGTGTTATAAGGACATTGGTAGCAGGCCTGCTGTGACATAACTTTTGCCATAGAATGGGAAAAGATAGTGAAATGAGGACTAGAGGAGATGGAAATCACTTGAAACGAATCATCACATTAATGGAACAGTGTTCACCACTGCTTAGGAGTGTGCTGGGGCGGTGCAGCTAAGCCAGCTCTATAGTAGGGAGCTGAAAGGGGGTTGTGCTGTCCCCAGTGTTGCCCCTTTCCCCCCACTCTTATTTAGGCTGTCAGTATCTTGAAGGATTCCTGCCGAATGTATTGACAGATTGCAAAATGTGATCTTTTTCTGTAATTGTAGGAAAACCTTACTTCCCTGCTGAAACTCTCTTTTGTGGCACAGTCTAAAGCTTGTCTCATATTGAATGGCAAATACGAATATCACACTCGCTTGTTACTTGCTCAAGAAAAATTTAGTCTTCAAAATATGTGAAAGTGCAGTAGTTTGAAAGACTATCACAGTTGCTTGGAAATAAAAATGGAGTAAGGCAGGAACTAATGAGGTTTCTGGTTGTTTGAGTACATGTCTGATTTCACAGTACTTCTAGGTTTTCGTTCAGAGAAGGATTTTTGGTAGTGGAGGGAGTTGATTGTTCTTGTTTGGTTTTTACCTCAGCTCTAAGACCTGAGTTTTGTGTTATATGTGATTGGATGACAGTCACAGTTATTTTGTTGTCATTTCAAACTTTATGGAGACTGCCATGGTCTTTGGTATCTCTTCTAGCATGGTAATACTTG